GAAATAAAAAATCTTGCATTTCATGAAGGCAGCTCTGCAGACTTTGCAGGAATGGGCTCAGAGACTTACGACATGGTCTTTTCTAACTTTGTGTTTCACTGGATTCAGGATAAAGAACAAGCTTTCAAGAATATATTTTGTAGCCTGAAACCAGCAGGAAAAATTGTGCTGTCTTACGGCGATCGCCTTCCCTCTTTCGTCGATAAAATTTATCGAGAACTTCAAAACTCTGAAAGCAAGGAACGTATGCTAAAGAAACGCTTTTACGAAAGGAGGACAGAGATTGAAAGAATGTGTTCGGCTGCGGGATTTGACATCGGGAAAAGTGTCGACGTCGAGATGGAGGATTTTGAGTTTGAAAGTGTTGAAAGCATGTGCTCGTTTGTCTGGGCAACTAACCAAGGCAGGTTTGATCGAGAGCTAGTCACGAAAGACTAGATAGCAAGTTTTTGTGCTCGGTACACAAGCGGGGAAAATTCTAAACCGTTTACGGTGTTTACCGATGAAGGAGATTACTATTGCGTATTGATTGCAGCTAAACCAGGAACAACTTGACGACCTGCTACACTTTAATTTAGGATTTCACGTATTGGAGAACGTATTTTACGTCAATAGGTTTTCAGACGAATCCGGGATGTTTCAACTTACACTTGAATAGTTTTTGGTGCACACCATGGCAGATTAGCATAGACTGCGCAAAACATCTGAATTCTCATCAGCTGCAGCTGGTAACGCAAGATTATTAATGTCACGGTCAGGGAAACTGGTTGTTCACATACACAGAATGCAAATATGGCGTCCAGTTTGAGTTGCCATTGTTCTGGACTGACTAGCCTCTCACACATGTAAGAATCCTTTTGTATTTCCACGTGAAGACGAGGCTAGTCAGTCCAGAACAATGGCAATTCAAATTGGACGCCATATTTGCATTCGGTGTATGTTCAAGTTTGTTTCTTCACCACAATCAGGAGTCGATTAGTTCTGAGTTTTTTTCAGGTCTGATTTTCACTATTGCTTAAATAGTGCTTTACTGCGAAGGATCGTGCACATATAAGAATATATTTTGTAGCCTGAAACCAGCGGGAAAAATTGTGATGTCTTACAGCGATAGCGTACCTTCTTTCTTCGATAAAATTCATCGTGAACTTTAAAATTCTGAAAGTATGGAACGTATACTAAGTAAACTTTATTTGGGGAGGAAAACTAAAATTGAAGAGTTGTTTTCATTTGCAGGATTTGACATCGTGAAAAGTGTCGACGTCAAGAGGGAGAACTTGGAGTTTGAAAACGTTGAAAGCGTGTGCTCGTTCGTTTGGGCAACACATCAAGGCAGGTTTGATCCAGAGCTAGCCACGAAAGACAAGATAGCAAGTTTTTGTGCTCGGTACACAAGTGGAGAAAATTCTAAACCGTTTACGGTGTTTACTGATGAAGGAGATTATTATCATGTACTGATTGCAGCTAAATCCGGTCACCAATAATGTGACCCGAACTTTCCATATTCTTTCGTTTCTTCGCTAGGATGGCGGGTAGGCTGAAGAAATTTCCTCGCTAGGAGAGCATTAGTTCATGGTTGATTTACGTGTGGCCTCACGAATCATTTAGACCGATAAGGAAATAGCTCGGCTTCTAATCTAAGGAGGAACACGTGCTTTAAAGGCCTTATCATCGGCTTTATATTTAGCTAAATTATTCTTTGGGTTGTCAGGTCGCAACAATTTGTAACCTCAGGGTCACCTCACGAAGTATAAGCTAACGCAAAGAATCGCGTGACGTGTGGATTTGTTAGTAAGGCTTCATCCTGTGTGTGTGAGACATAACAATCATTTGCAGATTTTTTAAGTTTTTGCTTTGTTTACCGAAACTATTTTGAGCCACATTTGAAATTATAAACCGGTAAAGAACTTTAAATCTCCGATAAGACCCTTTTCCCACTCACCCTCCCCTCCCCCGTCTCCCAGTAAAGAACTTCAAGTCTCCCATAAGACCCTCTGCCCACCTCTCCCCCAACCCACGTCTCCCTGACAACAAATAAAAAAATATCAAGAATAGTAGCTTTATCGTTATTCCTTTGGGCTTGGATGCGTGTCGAATTCCTAACATGAATTTTAATTTAATACATGTTTTCTAGAAATGCTTTCAAATGATTTGCGGCATTCACTAAATCTGGGCTACAACTTCAAAGAATGTTCACCTGCATCATGGTCCTCATCAAGTTTTATTTTATGTTCCCTGTCTAAAACGTATAAATATTAAATTAATGACGCTTCTTGATGATGCTTGTTCAAGGGAACGCCAATATCGACGTATGGTCAGTATGCAAATGTTAGGCTCCAATGTTTACTATCCGGTGCGGCTTGTTAATTCATTTATGGTCGCTGATATATGAACCAGGCGACTGTTCAGCAGTCTTTTTGTCAGTCTGTCCCAAAGGTTTAGTTAAGGAAGATCCCGTCTGCTTCCTACCACATGCGCAATTCGGGAATAACGATCACAGATGGTGACGTGACAAGATTGACTCGTTCAATATTCACAATGTGCAACTCCAAACATGTGGCAAAGGTTTACCAGCAAATCTCGCAAATTTCAAATGGGGAGCGAAAAAAAAAAACCGAAAACCGCTGATTTATGAAGTACTGAAGAATTGTCTACGAATTTTGCCGAGCTCGAAGGACAAGATGGTCGAGTCGTTGCCGTTGATCCCGACACTTATCGAGTAGTAGTGGCTAGAGAGTCACACAGGAAAGTAAAAAATCTTGCTTATCACGAAGGAAGCGCTGCCAGCTTTTCTGGAACGGACTCTGAAACTTACGACATGGTCTTTTCCAGCTTTGTGCACCCCTCCCCCGCCCCGTTCCCGTTTCTCTCCTCCCTGATTAAAAAAAAATTCAAGAATAGTTGCGTTATCGTTACTCGTATGGGCTTCGATGCGTATCGGTTCAAAATGGACTGAATTTTCATTAAATAAAATGTTTTTTTTTTTTTAATAAATCCAGTATACGGCATTCAAGATATCTAAACCACAACTCAGGAAAATATTAACTTGCATAATGTGGCTCACACCAGTTTTTCTCGTGGCCCTTGTAGAAAGCTTTTGAAAATTAAAAATGAATAAAGGCGGAAAGTTTCGAAAGAAACTGTTTGGGGCTGCGTCGGTGGGAAAAACGAAATAATTTGGATATATCAACAAAGTTGAAATGGTAAATTGGCCACCGTAATGATTACAAAAGCTGACGTTTCGAGCTTTAGCCCTTCGTCGGAGCGAAAGTGTGAAAATTAAATTGATGTGAGTTCTCGATGCTTGTTAAAGCGAACCGCCAATTCAAATACATAGTCAGTATGCAAATGAAGATGGGTTCCTAATATGCAAAAGTTGTTACTTTAAATCTGATCCAGGTGGCTATTCAGAAGTCTTTCGATCGGTCAATAGGTCCACAATTACAGTGGAGCAGAACCCGCCTGCTCCCAAGTTCATGTGTAATTTGGGAATATCGATTATTACTGGTGACGTGATAGGGTTCAGTCCTCGAAGCTCGAGTGCAAATATTCATCATGTCAAACTCCAAACACGTGGCGGACAATTACAAGCAAATCTCGCTTTGGCAAAGAGGGAACGGAAAAAAACTGATCGATAATATAGAGATACATCGCGGGGATGTTATCTTAGATATGGGCTGCGGTACTGGAGAATTGTCTGCGTATCTGGCCGAGCTTGTAGGAGAAGATGGAAGAGTCGTTGCCATTGATCCCGACAGGTATCGAGTAGAAGTGGCTCAAGAATCACACAGCGAAATAAAAAATCTTGCATTTCATGAAGGCAGCTCTGCAGACTTTGCAGGAATGGGCTCAGAGACTTACGACATGGTCTTTTCTAACTTTGTGTTTCACTGGATTCAGGATAAAGAAGAAGCTCTCAAGAATATGTTTTGTAGCCTGAAACCAGCAGGAAAAATTGTGCTGTCTTACGGCGATCGCCTTCCCTCTTTCGTCGATAAAATTTATCGAGAACTTCAAAACTCTGAAAGCAAGGAACGTATGCTAAACAAACGCTTTTACGAAAGGAGGACAAAGATTGAAGAGATGTGTTCGGCTGCGGGATTTGACATCGTGAAAAGTGTCGACATCAAGATGGAGGATTTGGAGTTTGAAAGTGTTGAAAGCATGTGCTCGTATGTCTGGGCAACTAACCAAGGCAGGTTTGATCGAGAGCTAGTCACGAAAGACAAGATAGCAAGTTTTTGTGCTCGGTACACAAGCGGGGAAAATTCTAAACCGTTCACGGTGTTTACCAATGAAGGAGATTATTATTGCGTATTGATTGCAGCTAAACCAGGAAAAACTTGACGACCTTTTAGACTTTAATTTAGGATTTCACGTATTGGAAAACGTGTACATGTTTTACCTCAATAGGTTTTCAGACGAATCTGGGATGTTTCATCGTACATTTGAATAGTTTTCTGTGCACAGCATGGTAGATTAGCATATATTGCGCAAAACATCTGAATTCTCATCAGCTGCAGCTGGTAACGCAAGATGATTAATGTCACGGTCAGGGAAACTGGTTGTTCACATGTTCTTTTGTTTCTTTCTAGTCTTCCGATTGGTTCTCTTAACTCCGGTTATCAGCATATATTCCGAGTCATCTTATATGGAAATGCATTGCACCAACTATTGCAGAGCTGAAAAAAGCTCGAAATATCCAAACGCTCAGGATTTCATGAAATTCAGGGAAACAATTATTCCTTTCGTCCGCGTTGGATACGAGATTGGTTAAAGCCAACTCAGTGATTCGCACCTCGTTAATTGGCTATTTACCATCTCATATCCAACGCGGGCTTATTCACGTAATCAGTATCACGTGATTTTATCACAGCGAGTGTTAGATCGACCGGTATAAGCTTTCCATATTTGAACATATTTGATTCCATGTTTGAATAGATACATTAATAAAGCAGGATATCTAAGACATTTGACGGCTAACAATAGCTTGCTTTTTCGACGGTTGACGGTAACAATATTGCGTTTTTGACAGTTGCGGTTGATATTTTGGCCATTTGACGGTTGACTCGAACTCATTAGATTTCTGCTCATCTATCGCCCTCCTGATAACACCTCTAGTATACCAATTCTTGAAGAATTCTCACGGTTACTGGAGCTACTAGTTCTAGTGGAATCCACTGGTTACTTATTAATCTCTGGAGACTTCAATTTTCATGTCGATGACCCCTCCGTCCCTGCAAATCGCTTTAACGAAATTCTTAAATCATGCAACCTAAAACAACATGTCACTGGAGCAACCCACGCCAACGGACACAGCCTGGATCTCGTCATTTCCAAATCAGGCGATCGTCTCATCATTGAAATTAAAAGTAATGACCTTGTAATTTCTGATCACTGCAAGGTTCATTGTAACTTGCGGTACAAATACCACACTTTAAGAAGAAAAAGGTGAACCATCGGAAACTACGCTCCTTGGATACTGACTCCTTCTGTGAAGATATCTCGAGTTCTTCTCCGCTACAGGATCAAGCCACTAAACTCACTTCCCTTGTGGATCAATATGATAACGTATTGAGATCCCTCTTACACCCCTACACCCCTTTAAAAAAGTGACATTACGACCTCACGCGTCCTGGTATAAACCGGAAGTGGTAGTTCAGAAAAACATCCAAAGGCGGTTAGAACGGAAGTGGCGATCAACGGCTACGATGTGATCGCGAGCAATATGTTCATCAATCCAACGTTGTTAACAATCTGATCGATTCACTTAAGTCAACAAATACACCGACATCATCAATGAACATTCATCAGATCAGAAGATATTATTTAAGACTGTTAGTAAGATTTTGCTAAAAACACCTGATGAGCGCTATCTTCCCTCTTCCGATAGCACTGGCCTAGCAAATTCATTTGCTGACTTTTCACCAGCAAGATTGACAAAATAAATCATGGGCTTGTGGAAAGGAGAGTACGTCTCAGGTCTTCTTTTCCCATATGACAGTTCGTAGTGTAGAATTTTGCAAGTTTGCCGGAGGTTACCCAGAAGGAAGCAAGAAAGGTTTTCAAAGAAACTGTTTTCTAACTCTTGTAAACTTGATCGTCAACCTGCAGCAGTTTTGAAAGGCTGTTTCACAGTATAACTCCCTACCATTACGAAGATCATCAACTTGTCCTTATCGACTGGTACTATGCCCGATGATCTGAAGGTTGCTACACTATCCCCCATGCTGAAGAAAACTGACGCTGACTCTGAACAGTTTCAAAATTTTCGCCCGATTCGAACCAAAAGCAATATCAAATCTTGTTAAAAAGGCAGCTGCCATACAACTCACAGATCACGTTATGTCGCACTACCTGGACGAGGGGTTCCAGTCGGCATACAAGAACTTCCATTCCCCGGAAACAGCTCTAGTGAAGGTCTAAAACGACATCTTGCGCGCAATGGACAATAACGAGTATGTCTTACTTCTTCATTGGATCTGTCTGCAGCCTTCGACACAGTAGACCACTCGATATTGCTATCAAGACCGCAAGATCGTTTTGGAGTTAAGGGTACTGTACTTGCTGGTTTAAATCCTACCTGACGTCTCGCAAGCAGTTCGCACAAGTCAATGACTGCAAGTAAATTAAACACTGCGCTCTTTGGAACGTGGCGTACCTCAGGGATCTGTTCTGGGCCCTCTTCTCTATCTCCTGTACACATCACCCATTGCCGACATCATTAAGTTCCACAAGTTACGGTATCATTTCTACACTGATGATACCCAGCTGTATATATCATTTAAAACTGACTGTAGCTATGATCTCCCACTGGTGTTTCGGGCGGAGTCAAAAACCTCCCAATGGAACGGCAATGGATAGTATTTCTCATAGGGGGCGTATATATTCGACTCGAAGTCGACATTATTCGGCAATTCTTCGGTGAATTAGTTTTATACGACCCGTCTGCTCCCTATCAAATGCGCAATTCGGGAATTATCGATTACAGCTGGTGACGTGGCTCAATTCAGTTCTCGAGGCTTGAGTGCAAATATTCACAATGTCCTACTCCAAACACGTGGCAGACAATTGCAAGCCAATCTCGTTTGTTCAAAGAGGGAAAAGAAAAGAACTGATCGATAATAGAGAGATACATCGCAGAGATGTTATTTGGGATCTGAGCTGCAGTAGTGGAGAACTGTCTGTGTTTCTGACCGAGTTCGTGGAACAAGATGGATGCTATATGGCAAGCTTAGCCTTTGTTCTAAAAAATTTGAAACCGCAGTATGCAGCTCGAGCAAAGATTGGCGGGATGCGTTGATTTGTCAGGAATGCTTCCTCCTCTGTTAGGGACATAATAGTCATTTGCGGTTTTTTTTAGTTTGTATCCGTTACCGAAACAATTTTGAGTTACCTGAAAAGTGATAAGCCGGTTAAGGATGGCAAGTTTACAAAAAGACCATC